AGATGGCAAATTGACAACCCTGAATGGAACAAAGAAAAACAACTCACACAATCTAAAGGGAGATTCAGTCACTTTCACCAAAGGCCTGGAGTAAGAACCAAGTCTCCAAGGCCCTCCAAAACATAAATTGAATGGGGGCCACCTCGATCTTGTGGGGAAACCTCATACCAAACAGCATACCAAGTGCTGTTACAGAGAAGGTGTGCTTCCAGTGTCCCAATGCATTGGTAAATCAAAGCTTCCTAAAGTGTGCCTTGATAGCAGATACTAGGGGAGACAAGCAATCCCTCAAGTAACCAAGCCCAATGCCATGCAAGACTTTATAATGTCAAGACCTTAAATTTCACACGGAAGCAAACTCACAACCAAGTCTCACAGGGCTTGGAAAGGCAGAGCATAACTCATCACTTGAGGATACAAGGGCAGCTCCGCTATTTGGTAGAATGTAGCAGATGTCCAAAGCTGAGTTGAGGTACTGTGAAGTCAAGAAAATTTATTAATGGATATGTATCCCCATAGAAAGATACTTGTGGATTTTTCTGTCTCAGGTGTCAAAATCTTAGGAGCTATAAGCAAATCCTTGACTGATATGAATCTGATTACTAAGAGCACATCCTGGAAAAAAAAATACAACAAACTATAGGAAGGGGACATTTGAGCTTTTTTTTCTCATCAAATGGAAATTTAAACGTTCTCTGAACAGCAAGATTTCCATTTTTCTGGGAGTTTCCAAACTTATGATGAATAAGAGATTGATTTTCTCTGTTCTTCTGGGGCTCTTGAAAGTGCCAAAACAATTAGCAGAAATTGGTTTACCAGTGAAATAAATTCCCCAGAAAGCTACTGAACTTCCTTCATTGTCTGTGTTCCAGCAGAGGCTAGACCCCATATACGACACCCAAGTTTGCACTGCAATCAAAACACCAATCTAGCGTTCACAAAGTTCAGTGAAATAATGAAGCAATCCGATGCTTATATACTTCTCAAACAGTTTATTTGTCATTGATACTAACTGTAATATTGAATGTACAGAAGAGTTATGGTACAAAGAAAGCAAGTTTTCAGTAGAAGTAATGCAACAGTCCAGCTGCTCTGCATGCTACTCACAATAAATTCTTCTGGATACATTGACCTTGTTATGTGGAAGGCCCTATGCAACTAGAGACGTAGTAGAGTGGGTAAAAATGGACTGTTCTCCCCCATGGAAGAAAACACTATTGTTTGGGGAGAACCCCTTCTAAAAGTGACCTATATAACCAGATCAGGTAAAGGTGTGCCAATTCTTGTACACAGTATAAGCTGATCATAAATACACCCAGGAAAAGTTGAATTAATGTGTTCTAACATAATTCTCAAAAGCAGCCCAATTTGCTATTTATGTTGTTCACTCATCATATTTACCACTTCATATCTCCTGAAACATTTCATTTTTATAACTTGAGTCTGCTACTTTTCAAATACCACAAATAACCCACAGTTGCTTGCACATTCTCCTACAACAAAAACAAAGATATTTCAATGTGTCACATAAAACCATGCTTTAACTGTTTACAAAGTAACTAAAACAGTTCATTTCAAAACCTAAAATAATTAAGCTGGAAGGAAGTTCTTTACAGTATTTAAGAAAAGTGAATTTAGAAAAGGTGTTGTGAAGGAGGAAAATGTCAGATACTTACAAGCCTTACCAATATGTTTTATGAAGCTTTTAAAACTTATTTACATACATAAATACAATTATATCTCATGACAATCTTTTTATGACAAGTACAACAAAATAATTAGTGGATAGTATTGTCCAAGGGAAATCAACAAAAGGTTGATAGAATGACAAAATGTTGGAAAGAAAGGTTGGATTTTTTTTTTAAAAAAGCAATTGTAACAAAATATTTTGGGGACAGTAATGACTAATTTATTTATAATTATGTGTCATCTGTAAGAAATCAGCTTGGCCTTTTAATAGAAATCTTAATATGCAGAAATAAATAAGAACCATTTGTTCCACTGAACTATGACATAGGAAAAATGTTATTTCAACAGCAGTATCAGAGGTTTTTTAACCCCAAACATATAGCCATTTGAAATAACTCTTACTTTTTCTTTTTACAGATAAGTATGTTTATAATCTCAGTTATGGAACCTGATAGCCCAGCAGGTTATCTTTTTTCAAATCAGTTCAGCTCAACTAAAATCAAATTCATTTCAATAAAGCAATCACTATTTGCTATTAAGCCAGGTACTTCATGATCTGTTTTACAAGTTGGTAATATTGTTGAATTGGAGGAAAAAAATTGTCAGATAGAAAAATAAAGAAAATTACTGTAAAAGGAATACTTTTTTTCAGGATCAAAAGGAACTCCAATGTGTAATTCATTTGTATAGAACAGCTGATGCTCTCCAAATGTTTTTTGACTTCGATGCCTAGCATTTCTGATCAGTATTGAAATCAAGCACATCTTCAAAACACCTGCTTGAGAAAGGCAGCGTTAGAATATACCTTTCACAGGGCTTCAGATGAGTTTTACTTTAATATGTAACCAGCTTTACGGAGTTTGATTCTATGTTTTAGGAAAACAAAGCATTTCAAGCATGGGGCTAATGAGTCCTAAATTAAGACTACCCAACTATGTTTCATTAAAATAGGAATTTTCCTCTGAGGTGGCCACTTGGAGAGATTTAGTGTAATCCGGTGTCTTTCAACTATTGCATTTAATCTTCCCAAATGCCAGGTTAGGAATGGCTGCCATATAACCTTAGGGAAGATTATTTACCAGAGAGTGTTCCCCTATTTTTTCACAGAATGCAGTCATAGGAACCAATGCTCCAAAAGTGGAAGCACCATAGAGGTTGCATACTATTTAAAGGCAGGCAAAAACACGGGATTATAAACACATCGCCTTGCAATTGTTCCTTCTGAATGAGATCCAACAGAAACTCAACAAATTTATTATCATGTGATGTCTGTATATTTGAAAAGTTCTATCTTTGTTTTAGCATTTCTAATTACACAGCAATAATTTGCAGGATAAAATCAAAAGTGATCAACATCTTATAAAAGTCCAATGAAGTACTCCCTCCCCCATTACTGAAAATGTTTATGAAACCATTACAGTTATCCAAAGTGATGATAGATGAAATCCAACACATCTGGAAGATATCAAGTTTAAAAAATGCAGATTCTCTGTGCCTTATGATCAAGTCCATACTTGAAATCTTGAATATACACTTTTAAACTGGCTAACTGCCAATAAAATTCTAATACTGACAATGTCATGAGAAAGATAGTTTGGAAAAGCAAATCTGGTTAGTTTACGGGAGGAGGGGGAGGAAGGCAATTAATTAGGACATCTTAAATATTAGGTAAAGAGCTCACCTGGGATAACAAAGGATTAATAAAATAAAGTAAGAACTAAGTAATTGTTAGTACTGTTTCATTTTAATCTAGGGAGTGCTATATGAGTTTACTTCCAGGAAGATATTGAAAGGTATGAAAAGGTAATAGTTGAAACATTAGATGTAGTGCTCTCAACTTAAGACTTTCCTACATCACTGCACTGTTTTCTGAATGTTTATGATATATTCTACAAGAAAGGATAGAATGGAACGCATGTAAGAGGAAACCGGCACACCTGCAAAAACTGAGTCATAGCTCACTGGTGAAGCACATGCTTTGCATACAGAAGGACCTTGGTTTAAATCGCTGACATTGCCAACTGAAAGGACGGTTAGCAACTATTGTGAAAAGCATCTGACCGTGGAAAATTGTTATTGATAGCACATCAGTCATTAGCAACAAGGTGTCTATAAATAGCATAGTATCTTCTAGATCCTCACAAAGTAACTTTTGTTCAAATTAAAGCAATAATTACAATTGCTGAAAACTTCACGAGAACCCTGTGAAATTATACCAACATCATAGGAGATTGCAAAAGATTTTGCCAATGGTGCTCAATGCCAGAAATATTGGCTGATTCTGAAGTAGGTAATACTGGGCTATGAGAACAAGTAGCCCGATCTGGTATAAGGCAGCTTCCCCGATTCTTGTAAGTTTAGTGCATTCTGAATACATGCAAAGTGCTTACACATGGCCTTTTGCAACTTTTCATCTGAACCTGGCTGACATCTATACCATTGCATATGCCAACCAAGCACTTAAAGCTTATTGGCTTCTCCAAAATCTTACCCAACTAAAGCTCAATGCTTTTTATTGTTACATTCTCAGAACGTAGAGTGCTAAAATGGATTTAATCCAGTATGTTTCTGGAAGAAGCTAGTGAATTGTGTTTATTGGGGCTTATTCTCAAGTAAGTATAGAGGGTACTTATTTCTGCATAAATTGGAAGAGAAGTGTGCTATTCATTATTCATGGATGTGCCTAGATATGAATTCTTCTGATAGAAATTGAGAGCCTTGGATGGTCTTAAGGAGTAGGACTGCATTCAGATCCCACATAAACTAGTGCTGCTTCATTTAAAGTGGCATCTTGTATGTTTGAAATGTATTAGAAAACAATGGCCTATTGAAACAACTACCAAGTTGAGTTATTTTATAAAACAAAGGAGCACACCAAGTTACAGGGTGGGTTATGCAAACATAAACACACATACAGATGGGAGGCCCACATTCCATATGAACCAGTTATTCTTCAAGGGTTTATTTCTGGACCATATGCATCCTCGGAAGGCTGAAAGTTTGAATATTGGAAAGATGTCAGGGTAGGGCTGCTTAGGACTTTATGGTATATGCTATGCCTCTATCTACTTATTGAAAGTGGAAGAGTGGGGTGCTTTTCCTAGAGAGAGAAAAAGTATCTGCATTTTTCTTTACATGTTATGAACAGACATTTGTGTGTCCATAAATTACACTTTAGTTTCCAGGGAGTGGTGAAATCACCTCTCTGGAGTGGTAGATGAGGTTTCTTGATCTTATTTTACCCATTTGGATTGCTCCCCCCACCCCTTTCCCAATGCACTTTAAATATAGCATATTTTTAAATTAATTTTCCTCTCAGGTGACCAAAACCAGATTCAGTAGGACCCACGTTGCCCAGCCCTCTCTTCTATAAGGGTGCAGAGGAGCTGAAGGTGAATGAGTGTATATAGGCCTGGAATGAAGAATCCCACATTTGTTATTATTTGTTTGAACTTCAATTATGTAAGATTGCTAGAAATCCTTTGGATTGTGTGTCATATGGGGGGAGGGACTGCAATGAATTTGGGTCTTCAAAACTGTGATTAGGATACAGCCTTAAATGAATTTTTGAATCTCCTTCTAGGGCAAGGGAAAAAGCTGGGATGTACTGTATTCTGACCATCACGTGGAACTTAATAGTCATTTAGACTGCTAATATTTAGTGTGTTGGTTTTTTTTTTCATTTATGTTGTCTTTAAGAAAGTTGATGGAATATAAATATCATACTGTACTAGAAATTCTGAAATATATACTCTGAGACAAAGCTTTGCTTCCAGTGCCCAAGTCATCATCCAAATGCGGCAAATACAACCTAAACTTCTTATTAAAAGACATTATATCATCATAACATTTTCAAAGAAACCTGGCTTCTCAATTGGACAAAAGTGACTTTGTTTAAATTATTGATGAGAATGAAATGGAGTTAAATGTAAACAATATTTCTAAATAATTAAAAATCACATTATCCATAATTATTCCAGCCATTTTATATGTAATAATTTTAAACTTTGGTTGCTACAAAATGTATGTGCTTATTTTTGAAGCATTATTTAAATAAAAGTATCACACACAAAAGTTCAATGCAGAGCATAAATATTGAACATCTCATCATGTACTTTTTCAGTAGTTGAGAAGGACTGTAGGTTGTCACTCCTTTATATTAAAAAAATTAAATTACTTTTCTAGAAAAGAGGCTTTTATAGATGTACTTAGCTGACAAAGTACAAGAAAAGTGAGCACATTATAAAAAAAAGGATTAAATCTTTCTGCAGATTTTAAGGTGCCAATAAAGGAAGATGATACACAAAGAAGGATGAGTTGCAGCTGAAAAACATAATAAAAATAAAAACAATTCCTGTATTCTTTGGGATATACAACTTGATTAAAAAATTATTTCCAGGATATAAAAACTCTTATTCACAGCATTGCTAAATTAGAAGCATTCACAGTTTCTCTCTGAGAATCGTTGTATACTTCCTTTTAACTTACAAATCAAAATGATTGATTAAATTATTTAAGATTGTGTAAGACTGAATGCCTCAGCACCAGATGTCAAACAAAATACTTCAAATTTCAAAGTCTGAAACTCTGGACTGAGTATCTATCCTTCTCCAGATTTATAGCCAACATGAGTGAACAGAACTACCATCTTAAAATGTTATTATTTTCTGAAGTTCAGACTTGGAAAAAGTCTATGGGAATGTAATCACTTCACTGAGCAAAATCAGAGAACATCATAGCAATATTTCCAGAAATACTGACTTCAGAACTGATTGTTATTCTGTGTGAAAGATAAACATGGCAGTGCTCTCATCTGACATATAAAAGCATGGATATTACCAGAATAGACACTTGTAATAATAATTCAATATGGTCGCCACACTGCTTCTTCTAATCTTGCCGTGGTCCCCATGTTGGTGGGGGAGTTGCTGTGACTGCCTTCAGTGTCCACAACATCATTTTGGTTTGGAAGGTTGGGATTGAGTAAAGTAGATCCGGTGGAAGCATTAGTGCAAGGAGGCAGAATACGTGGGGGAGACCGATCACCACCAGACATCATGGAGAATTGGTAAGATCCTGCTGATGTTCCATAGTAGAGATGATATGAAGGAGAGCTGGTCTGAAATGGGCTACCTTGAGCCTGAGAAGAACCTGGATAGGGAGGTGGTAGGTATGTGTGATATCTGGTGGCGGTGGTCATGGCAGACATGCCAATTCCTATTCCTGAGCTGACTGGGGTTGGAGTATAGGTGAAGGCTCCAGGATAGTGCATACGAGGATCAGAAATGGAAGGAATGGCAGAAAATGGACGATCAATTCCTACTCTTGGATCACTGAACGCCGTTAGGTCAGAAGCACCTGGTTTGGGAGAAAGGATATAAACATAAACAGATATAAACTGTAAGAAAAATACATGACTTTATTTCATTTAAGAGAAATCACTCAGATTGGTACGCAGGTGACCCCTCATGACTTGTAGCCTGATTACCTGCAGTTTTTCATATGTGCAACTGATAGCGGCAAGCCATAGAGCACTGTGATAGTCATATGTTCAATAAGAAAGAAGCAACCATGAAAAAGATTTCAGTGTTCAGGTTTGCAGGTCAAATTTGCTTTGTGAAAACAAAGAATAGTTTTATCCTGAACAGATGAGTATGATGCTTGGGCAGTTATTTAGGAAAGTGCTGACTATTCATTTCCTTCAGTATTCCAAGCAAGAATAGTGTTATTGGGAAGATATAGTTTGAAATACTTTGCCATGCCCCCTGCTCCAAAACCATCAACAAGAATTTATCTGATTTTTGCTTTTAAAATAATGATAAAAAAGGAAAAAGAAACAAAACAAAACAAACACATATATATATACACATACACATACACATTGTAAAAATAATGGTGAAAAAATTAAAAATGGAAAGAAAAAAGTATTTATTTTAGCAGTGTATAAGTTGTCTACAGTAATTATTCAAATATATATATTTTCTAATATAATACATCTAATATAGTATGGTTTTTTTTACCTTCTGTAATTTCTAAAATTAGTTCCTGATTTCATTATATTTGTCCACACAAACCCTATGTCTAGAACAGGGGTCTCCAACCTTGGCAGCTTTAAGACTTGTGGACTTCAGCTCCCAGAATTCCTCAGCCAGCTTTGGCAAAGCCTTAAAGTCTTAAAGCTGCCAAGGTTGGAGACCCCTGGTCTAGAAGCTATCTGCTCACAGGTGGCAAATGCTGTCAGGTCTCCAATCTAGTGAAAGGGGCCATATGGTTATCTTTTCAATGCTGTAATATCAGCCTTTTGGCCCACAAAAAACTTAGCTGCTCGGAACTACCATTTCTTGATTTCTTTTCCTTTAGTATAGCTTCCAACCTGATGCATTTTGTAAATCAGGCAATTAATGGGAAGTGTGGTAATATTTCATTAGTAGGAGATAAATCAGGTTCATCTGAGTGCTGGTCACACTGAGAAACAAATGAAGCTGAACCTTTCCACACATCCATCTTTCAACGATTGTAATTGGTAAGCTAGTCCCAAGCAAGCAGACACTTCTGTTCATTTTGCAGGGATCATTTAAAGCAGGGGTGTCCAACCTTGGCAACTTTAAGACTTGTGGACTTCAACTCCCAGAATTCCTCAGCCAGCTGGCTGAGGAATTCTGGGAATTGAAGTCCACAAGTCTTAAAGTTGCTAAGGTTGCCCCCCCCCCATTTAAAGGCTGTTAGCTATATGTATATGTGTGGGAGAGAGAAAGAGAGAAAAAAAGCGGGGAGTGAGGGAGAGAGAGAGGTCTCTCTCCCTCTCTCTCTCTCTCCCCCTCTCCCTCACATCAGGCAATGATGAACCACTTCTGAAATCTTGCCACAAAAACTGCAGACTAGTCCAGGTGGTTGTCAGGAGTCAAATACTCCCCCCCCCCACCAGCCACACGCACATGCACACGCACACACACAGACATATACTATGAAAGAATTTGTGAACTTCGTTCCTCTCTTCTTTACTCCTTTCATCTGGACTAGACAGAGGCCTGGTTGCTTGGTCAACAGAAATTCACAAAGTTTATAAATTTAGGAACTAAAAGCCTTTCGAATAGCTTGTTCCCCATTTGAAATAATGAACCTCACTCCCTTCCTCTGCTGATTGAGGAACTCTCACTTCCCCTTCAAGGCCCCCCCCCCCCC